GGAAAAGTAACGAAAAGTTATTTTTCAAGTAACGGTAACTGTAACGAGTTACTTTTAAAAAGCGATAACTGTAACTGTAACTAGTTACATTTTTTACTCGGTAACGAGTAACTGTAACGAGTTATTTTTAAAAAGTAACTTTCCATTCCCTGAATACTATCATAAAATTAAAAAAATGTTATACAATATTCTCAAAATATATTATAATAACTTACTTTAATTTTTTAATAATATTTATATATTCTAGGAATATTTTGCGCTCATAATAGAGTAACTATCCTATATAATATAAGCAAATTATATAGAACCTTAACCTATCTTTTAGATATATACTTTATTTGCGATATTGATTATTTTGATTATATGAACGAATAATGAGAAATAATTTGCAATAGTAACTAATCGATCATTTTCTTACCAAATTATCACATTTGTTGTCTCTTGATTTGTTTATACAACAATTAAGTCACTTTTTTTAATGTACAAAATCTGCAATAGTGTAAAAATATTTGCATGCTGAAACATTGTAAAAAAGTGACGTATAATTTATGAAATTATGTTACATCGTAGTGATGTAATTCTATAGGAAAGTAAAATCTCATCATTTTAGTGATATAACTGTTACAGACTACAGTATACATCCTGCAGAAGTAACCGAAGTATGTATAATTTATATCTTTTTCCGTTACGGCTTTGTGATGGAAATTATGTTACATCGTAGTGATGTAATTCTATAGGAAAGTACAATCTCATCATTTTAATGATATAACTGTTACAGACTACAGTATACATCCTGCAGAAGTAACCAAAGTACGTATAATTTATATCTTTTTCCGTTACGGCTTTGTGATGGAAATTATGTTACATCGTAGTGATGTAATTCTATAGGAAAGTACAATCTCATCATTTTAGTGATATAACTGTTACAGACTACAGTATACATCCTGCAGAAATAACCAAAATATATGTATAATTTATATCTTTTCCGATACAGCTTTGTGATGTAAATGTATTTTGTATTTGATATGTATCATTCATAGAATGGTACATGGATGTAACATAATTACTTTTAATTTATATAACTTTGTTATATGCTAAATATATAACGAAGACATGTAACAAAATGATCATATTTACATCAAAATATATCGTTTACGCCATAAAGCTGTCTCATTGTTATAAAACAGAGACATTTGTAAAATGACAAAAAAAATTATATAACAGTGCTAAGTCGTGTTTGCTGGGTAAGTCCGATCTTGAGCCAGTCTTGGTCGAGTCCAGTAAATCATGGACTTAAGACGGTCTTGAAATAAAAAAGTATAGTATTTAGTTCTTATTTGTGTGTGTATTAATAATTTCTTCTATTTATTTTTTATTTTTTTCATATTTTTAGAGAAAAAGAAACGGAAAAGCATATAGTTATGGTAGAATTATTACAAATATTTGTATATCTGTTATTGGGTGAACTAACAAAAATACATACCTCACATTCAAACAATAAAGGCCTTTGCACGTAAAAAAAAACGTTAACCGTAACTGTAATTTTAGTAGTTTCCAACACGTACACAATCAGATGGAGCAATGCAAGTGAAATTCCGTAATCGTAATTTTAAAGTTAGTCGTAAAAATTTCGTCATGTTGGAATTTTACATTTAACGCCTTAATGCCAACCAATAGGAAAGCTATCAGGTTATTTATATTATACACTATTTTGGCACTGGCGGTCGCAGTTTTCGTTTCTGATGTTTAGAAAAGAGATAATTTGGGTCAAACAACAAAAGGAAGGTTAAAGTTACGGTTAACGCTTTTTTACGTGCAAAGGCCTTAAGAAATTTAGTATAGTTCAATACTTTGTCCGAAGACGATTTCTTATTGAAACTGTGACTAGGCATTTGATTTATATTTTTACATTTGATCATAAGTAGTTTCAAGTAATTATTATTATTAATTAAAAAGAAATCTATTATTTTTCCAATAGATTTCATGCAAAAATAATGGATTTTTTTTTACTACACCTAATATATAACGTATTATAAACATATACAATATAATTATATAACTTTTAAATCTATTTTTATATAATTAAGATATTAATTATTTATTATACATTTCAGATAAACACACATTATGGAATTAAATATATTAGGCCAGTTTGACATTAATTTATTTGATGATTCTGATTCCTCTTCAGATGAAGAAAATGGTATTGGTATAATACGTGATAAACGATATGTACGAGATGCTACTAATCCATTCACAGCCTATCGTGAACATGAATTTCACATAAGATACAGATTTTCAAAACATTCTGCTATGCATGGACTACTATCTTTGGTTATAGATGGTTTAAGAAAGCCTGATAAGCGAGGTCTTCCAATTGAACCAGTTTTCCAGCTGCTTATTTGTTTAAGATTTTATGCTACTGCTTCTTTTCAGGTAAATTATTTATTTATATTATATCTCTTTCAGCTACATTATATCTCTTTAAAAAAAAAAAAGATACAAATAATTGTATTATTTTTATCTTGTAATTTAGAAAGTAAACGGAGATCTTATGGAATTACCACAATCTACAATTAGTAGAATCATGTTTAGGGTAACTGTTATATTAGCAGCTTATTTAAATACTTATGTCAAATTTCCAACAAACCAAGCAACTATACAAGAAAATAGAAGATTGTTTAAAACATTAGGATATGGACACGGAGCTATAGGACTTCCTTGTATTGATGGAGCGATAGACTGTATTCATATAAGACTATTCGGTAATAATTTTCAAGGATTAGATGAAATGTACAGAAATAGAAAAGGATATTTTTCTTTAAATGTCCAGGTAAATTAACAAAAGCAATGTTTATTAATAATGTTTAACAATGCTTATTTCACGTATATTACATATACACTTTATTTTTATCGTATTTATTGTCTTTTTGTGCAAAGCTGTTGTAGGACCGCAGATGGAATTTTTAGATCTTGTTCCTGAATGGCCAGGAAGTCAACACGACAGTAGAATTTTCCAAAATTCTAGACTTTTTATGCGGTATCAACAACGTGAATTAATAGGAATGTTAGTAGGAGTTTCAGGATATCCTGCTCTTCCATTTCTTTTAACACCATTCAGAAATCCACAAAACGAAGAAGAACAGAGGTTAGAGAAGCAAAATTAGAGCAGAAGTTAGAGTAAAAGTAGACTACTTTACATATTTGCTTGATCAATTGAGTGTCATTCTATAAAAATATATTTTCTTTATTTTTATTTCTTATTTTACAAGAATTTCAAGTATTTTTTCCTTTTGATGTTATTAATCAAGTATTATAAATCATGGCAAAAAAGAATTTTAGCTGAAATAAAAATTTATTTGCAAGTAATATTTTTTTTGCAGATTTAATGAAATTCAATTAAGAACACGAATAACTGTTGAAAGAACATTTGGAGAATGGAAAAGACGATTTCCTTGCTTATCGAGAGTATTATCTTTAAAACTCATCACATGTACTGCAGTTGTATCAGCATGTGCAGTTTTGCATAATTTGTCGCGATATTTTCGAGTACATTCTACCAGAGGAACCAGAACCTGATGCAGTAATGGAAAATGATGAAGAGCTGCATTATCAAGAACCTCATTGGCAACCTGGTGATGGTCATATTGTTAGGCAAAATGTAGTTCGAGATTTATTTCATTAACTTTTATATTTATGCTTTATTATACTATTATGTTTTATTGCAGTTTTTTAACAATAAATATATAATACTGATACATAATACTGACATACATAATCGGTGCATCCATTATATTCTCATGTCTATCTATATTTAAAAAATAAAATTATTCTTTTATCAATTAGTACTGTTATTTATCTTTTTCAACTAACATAATTTAAAAATAAAATAACAATTTATATTAGCTTTATACTTAATAGTCAATAAGTAAATATAATATATAAGTAATATAATATATAAGTAAATACAAGTAATATATAAGTAAATACAAGTAATATATAAGTAAATATAAGTAATATATAAGTCAATAGCCAGCAGTCACATATTTGTATCAATATCGCTTACATCACTCATTATCCGAAACATACTGTTCTCCCCTAAAATAAAAAAAAAAATTTTTAAGTAAAGTTTAAAAGTAATGTTTTCTTTACTTAAAAGTAATTCATTACTAACATTTCTCTTTTAGCGCGAAATTTTGTTAATTTGACTCTTTCCTGTAATTCTCTTTTTTCTAGAATTAATTTTTTAACTGTCATTTGATTAATAAACACTTCTCGTTCTTTTTTCAGCTTACACATCGCAATTTCATGATCAATTTTGTTCTCTGCTAACTCTAGTTCCTTTTCACATACTAATGTTATTCTATCCATTTTCTGGTTCTTTGAATTAAGACATGAATTAACATTTCTACGTTTGCTTGTCTTGAAATCGGATAGATAACGCACCCACACCGTCACAGAGGTCTGTCCCGACAGTACTATCATAGCAACAGTACAATCGTAGAAGTCACACGCCCCTTCGCAGGGGGTTGGGGGAGGTAAGAGTTACTTCGCGTGGAAAGTTTAACGTTTCTAAACGGAAGGAGATAGTACTTGTTATAATACATATATGGCAGAAATGGTACGTTAATTTTGAAACTTTTTTTGTTAATAACTTTTTAACGGACAGCGACCGCCACCTAAAACCTGCGGGAGGTCACTTAGGGTCATTACCTTGACAACATATGTCAAGGTCAAGATCATCGGGGGGGGCTCCCCTTTTCTAGATATTTACCGAAATTATAATTAAATATTAGAAACTGAAATACTTTAAATATAATAGAACAGCGTTTATTAATTTAATAGCATATTTAAATATCAGTATTATACATATATATTAACACTTACATATGTAATGTGAATTACGTGTGAACCTCGTATGCTGTAATTTTTGATATATAAACTTACTAAATTTAAAACTTACATTTTAAATAAGTATTAACTGTTTCTTTATGTAACAAATATAAAATAAAAAATTCAAAGCTTATACCTTATCTCTTATATTGTAAATAAGTATAGACTGTTTCTTTATGTAACAAATATAAAATAAAAAATTCAAAGCTTATACCTTATCTCTTATATTGTAAATAAGTATAGACTGTTTCTTTATGTAACAAATATAAAATAAAAAATTCAAAGCTTATACCTTATCTCTTATATTGTAAATAAGTATAGACTGTTTCTTTATGTAACAAATATAAAATAAAAAATTCAAGGCTTATACCTTATCTCTTATAAACAAATAAACAAACATAAATTAAAGGCTATAAAGAGTCAAACGCAGTTAACAATGCGAAAAAATTTTAATAATCTTACAAATTAATATAAGATGTTCCGTCAAACGTTTCGGTCTGCAATTTAGACTATCTTCAGCGACGAAATAATAATAAACCAATACTCCATTTACTCCGAGTTAGAATGCAAGTAGTAGAATCAATTCTTGTTGAACGACAAAATGTTCCTGTGCACCAACTAGAGGTAAATTCATCGTAGATAATGGATGTGGAGTTGTGTAATGAAATTCCGAAAAATCAGAAATATGTCTCTGTTGGTAGACAAAAACATTATTTCATAATTAAATTCACAATTTAATCATACTAGAAAGACTGACTGTAATAAATATGTGTCCGTATTCAACAGTAAAAGACGATACAATGACTTATCTCTTATATCTTATATTGTAAATAAGTATAGACTGTTTCTTTATGTAACAAATATAAAATAAAAAATTCAAAACTTATATCTTAAACTAAATACCAATAAGTATAAGCTATTTACAGTCAAGCTGAATCTTGGATGCTTCTAAATTATAATTTCGTGTGAATTTATATACTACGTATGTAATTCTTAATTGCGCGTCGAAATTATAAATAAGCATCCAAGAACCACCTTGACCGTAAATAGCTTGTTCTTATCGGTATTTAATTTAAACTCTCACAGTCTAATAAGATTTGATATTGTTTATACCTTAAAGTATAAAATTTCTCTCTATGTAACATATATACAAAATAAAAACAGATTTTTATTAACACTAAAACCGCCAATAATACCATTTTGGCTCCACTATTATTTCAATTTTTTTTCTTTCTAGTATTAAATATAGAGTACAGAATATTAAAAATATGTGAATACAAACAATCCTAATGATACAAATAATATAAAAAAATTTTTTATTAACCAGTAACAAAGATAGAGAATAATATTTTATTGCTGCCTTTGGTAATTTTTCCGAAATATTACTGGCCGTTCTAGTGTTAAGATATAAAATAATTACAGTCCTTTACTTAAATGTAGTCAATGTAGTCACAACAAAATTTAGTTTGTACATACAAAAAATCTATTAATATTTCTAAATATATACAAACAAATTTTGTTTAACTAATACGAAAAGAAATAATACGAAAAAAAAGAAACGTAGCCATTGGCCACGTTTACACTGTGCATTTAGGCCATGGTCTATACAGGGTGAATCAGAAAAAACGTTTGTCCTTAAAATGACGTATTCCTGAGATGATTTTAAGATATTTTTTCCTTTGTCAAAATTTTATCCGAAGCATAGATTTTGAATTATAAACTAAAATAGTTAGCTAATTACGGGTCGCGTACGGAAGGCAGGCAGGGGCGGCGCAACTCATCAGTCAACGCGGGCGCCGGATTGCTATCAGCTGCTCGCTACGTACGAAACGCGTGTTACGATAATACGCGCGTATCTTCTCCTCACACGCACGCACGCACGCACGCACGCACGCACGCACGCACGCACGCACGCACGCACGCACGCACGCACGCACGCACGCACGCACACATACATACCTTGTAGGGATGTAATCGAGCTGGAAAAAGGCAGAATGCAATGTTTGTGGATTCCGACAAGATTCTCACACAAATCCACAACACCGAATAATAATAAACTTTTTTCTGTCACATTAATTATGTCACGTATCACTTTACACAAATTCACATACATTTGATCGATTTATTAACGAACTTATCAGTTTGTTATTATTAATCACTACCGATTAATTAATTAGCGATTGAGAATTAATCCAAGAAAGAAACAGATTACAGTAATCAATAATCAAAGGCTTTCCTCCTTTTATAAGTTGCATCGCGTATCAATACTATCACGGATTTATTCACGCACTTGATTGATTTTTACATACGAATCTTTTACATACAAACCGATGAATCACTCCCGATTAATTGTTCAGCGACGGAAATTGCTTGTTGCTTGAAAGAAGGAAAGCAAAATGACGAAATTATTTTCATTACTACGGTTAATCACAATAAAACACTACCGAATAATTATTCGACGAGTTAAAATTACTCAACACGGAGGTTACGCGATGTCAACAAGTCAACGGGTTAAGTTGGAACTGGTGTGTTCGTGAATGCACACGACGCTGTAGGTTAGGTTTCGTTTAGCCTCCTTACATCATATTTTCTTTATTCCTGCACTGTCCGCATTGGTGCACACGGTGCAATAAATTGAAGTGAAGCAAAGGTATGTTTAGACAGTGCAGGAATAAAAAAAAGACCGTTTGTTTGTATTTCATATTATGAGAGGACGTTAATCAATCGATGTTTAATCTCTTGCTTTCTCTCATATTTCTGCGAATGTAAAATATTCTACGTAAAAATGTATTGGGCGCTCTGAAAAGAGCGGGTTATTTTGCATCGCTCTGAAAAGAGCGGGATATTTTGTATCGCTCTGAAAAGAGCGGGTTACTTTGTATCGCTCTGAAAAGAGCGGGTTATTTTGTATCACTCTGAAAAGAGCGGGTTATTTTGTATCGCTCTGAAAAGAGCGGGATATTTTGTATCGCTCTGAAAAGAGCGGGTTATTTTGTATCGCTCTGAAAAGAGCGGGATATTTTGTATCGCTCTGAAAAGAGCGGGTTATTTTCTATCGCTTTGAAAAGAGCGGGTTATTTTCTATCGCTCTAAAAAGAGCGGATTTTACAGCAGGTGCTCAAAGTGAGCACCATTCATCCTAACGCAAGCTCTCATTCGTCTTAACAAGTTTGCTTGAACGTTGTCCATAACATTTTCTTCGATGGCCCAAATAGCGTGTCGCAATTTCGCATCTAAATCCTCGATATCCTCAGGAAGCGTTTTGTAAATTTCTT